AGTGGGACGAGAAGAACGGCCAGGATGTGCCGCTTTACTGGCAGGAGTCAAAGCCAATTGCGCTGTGGATCGCACTGCTGGACGATTGGAAGGTGCAAGCAATCATGGACCTGAGTCCTGGCAGCGGTGCTTTGTGCGAAGCTGCGCTCACGCGTGGTATTTTATATCACGGCCTCTGTCAGACACTCAGTTCTTTGATCCGTCCACCGGTTGTCATCGGCCAGGTTCTACCAGGCTCCTCAAGCAGAGATGCTGTGCTGTATAGACTAGCTAGCTGGGTGCTTGCCAACTACATGGGATACAGAAACATGGGAAGGAGAGTGCTGAGTTAACAAAGTTCTGTGTTCCAATGAATGCCGTATAATGCCGTGATCAGGGGACACACCTATTCCATACATGCGTCCATCCACTATACAAGTTGAACGCTATAGTGACTCTAGTGCATGGAGGCCGTCCATTTCAAGACAGGCAAACTTGGACACCCCACCAAATTTCTAAGTTGGAAGGCCCCATGGTGTGAAACAGGGCTTCTTTGCTGTAGAGCTTTGCGGCCAAGGTCACAGCAAGGAGCATTTGCAGTGGCTACAAGCTATTGCCGACCGGGCAGCGTGTGGGCTGATGGCAGTAGAAGGCAGCTCCTTGTTTTCGGAGGAAACTGCGCAGTCTGTGAAGAAGTGTTTTCCAGATATCCTGGCCAGCCTTGCAAAAGGCAAGGACGATGAGGACTCAGATCCTTTGGAGCCAGGGAGCCCCATTGAGTGAGCAGAGCAAGGTATGATGGGTGACGGAGGAGCAATGACAGGTCAGGTGGTCCCAGGTTCACGGTCCATGGTCCACAGTCAACGGTCAATCAGCATGGGTCGTGTGAGCGCTCCAGCACCCACAGGTAGCAGGTGACCTTGCCAAGTTTTGATTTGTAGGCCTTGTCCAGCACCTTTCGATGCCGTGGACATACCTTTGAAAAAAGGATGCGGTCGGAGTTTCGCTTTGGAGGGTTCGCTGCAGACATCTAAGGGTAGTGCAATCTATTTAATACATCCATCCAACAAGTTTCTTGGTGCATGCGTGTCCCGTGTGCTAGTCTGTGCCCGGCGTTGACCGTGCTTGATCGCGCCTACTTTTCCTCCAGCAGCGGTGATATAGGGGTACGGGGTCTGAACTTCTTGCTGGTGCTGGCCATGGTTGCTGGGGGCATTCCAACCAAGCGGCTCCGGTGCAAGACTTCTTTGAGGCCACAGTCAGGTCCACGGTCCAAGGTCCTCAAAGTGAAGAGCCAACGCTCCAGGGCAATTCAGGAGGGCTTGGTCCCAAAAGCTCGGAAAGCCTTTGCATTGTTCTTGATGGAGCACAGCACACTGCGAAAAGGCCAGGGGGGAACCAAACAACAGTTCCTTGACGACATGAAGAAGATGGGTCAATTGTGGTCTGACCTTGACCACGAGCAAAAGGAAGCATACCAGGCACGCAGCCAACAGGAGTTCCAAGCTCAGCATGCTGCCATGATGCGTCTTGGCCTCAATGTTCGACAAAAGCTTCCACAAGGGCCTGCTCCTTCCAAAGATGTTGCGCTACCTCCGCAATCAAGAAAGTTCAAAGTTGGCCCATTCACAGTGATGGACCAGGTAGATGGTCGTAGCCCAGATGGTGGTTCATATGGACAGGTCTTTCCTTCCAGGTGCGGCAATGGCAGGGCATGCGCCATCAAAGTGTATCGAAAGCGAGATGGGTCAGACGATGCCACGCATGAAGTGGCCATGTACCACAAACTTGGCCAGCTGACTCAGTCCCAGCAACGGTGGTTCCCAGAGATGCTCAATGCCGATGTGAAAGGCGTGCCCTTTCCATGGGTTGCGCTGTCTTTTGAAGGGGCTAGCTTGCATGCCTGGCTGAGTGCCAATGGTGCGTTTGCTCCCGAGCTGGTGCAGCCTTTCGCCTTGCAGCTCCAGGCTGCAATTCAGACCTTGCATGGCCAGGCTGGCTTGCTTCACTTGGACATCAAGCCAGGGAATATCCTATGGTGCGCACAGCTTGCTCAAGTCAAGGTCTGTGACTTTGGCCTTGCAGAGGTGTTTGCGCAGGGCGTGGTGGAACAGCCAAGGTACAATGAATACGTTTCCCTTCCTTACCGGCCACCGGAGCTTTGGCGCATGACTCGTGACCTGCGATCCTTGCAGAGCGCTCTAAACCCATCTATTGATTTATGGTCTTTTGGTTGCGTCCTGTTTGAAGTCTGCTCCGGCTTCATGCTCATGAAGCCCTTTGATTTGCGGCAGAGATCTTCCAAGCAAACTATTTCGGAATGGTGCGCGCAATGGTCCACCTTGACCTCTGCGAAAAGTCAGAAATCTTCCAGTCATTGGCACGCCCGTCTGTGGCATTGTTCCAGCTGGCGCTCTGTTGTGCTGGCAGCTTGTCACCCAGAGCCTAAGGCCAGGAAGTGGATGAAGCAGAGGGGCTCCAGCTAGGTTCTTTTTCACCTTCAACCCATCAGCAGAATGCTGAGGGTGTGTTTCGGCAGGTCCATGCGGTCCCTGGCTCAAGGTCCAAGGTCCATGGTCCAGCTCAACAATTTGGGGTGGGGGCAAGCATACGTTTGCGCGTGGCAAGAAAAAGGAGAAGGCGGCCTTGATGAGGCTAGCCGATCAGAATTGAATTTAGATGAATCATGAAGCTCGAACATTGCAACCAAGCACATTCACCTGAAGGTGAACTCAGCCATGATGCTTGAATATTGCAACCAAGCAGATTCATCTGAAGATGAACTCCATCTAGACGGTTCTTTTGTGTTTTCAACAACTTGGTCTTGGTATTTATGTATTCCCCAGAAGTCCAATTCAGCTGGCTGGTGAAGGCAGTTCTCTTTTTTCTCGAACTTGGCCAGGCCGTTGGCTTGCTTCACCTGCCTGCGCAGACCTGACGTACCGTCGGCAAAGACGTGGAAAAAGATCAGAGAATTAGGGCGTTGTTCCGGAGAGGAAGCCGAGAAGCGGCTACCACATCTCAGGAATGCAGCAGTGCAAACGACCCAATCCCCTTAAAATTTTTCGGCCCAGCTGAGACATGAACCCAGGGGAACTGGGACAAGCTGGGGGCAGGGAACTGGGGACAGGGAACTTGGGACAGGGAACTGGGGACAGGGAACTGGCAGGGAACTGGGGGCAGCAAACTGGGGAGAGGGAACTTGGGACAGGGAACTGGGACAGGGGACTTGGGACAGGGAACTGGGGGGAACTGGGGGCAGCAAACTGGG